ACCCTTCTCCCTATTGCAATGAAGCATATGAAGGCGAAATAGAGCAAGTAGTGTCTGTATTAACAAATAAATTACATTTAAGCTATAATCAGATGAATAGGATTTCTGGCTGGATAGTCCTGGAGGATGCTGTATAAGGAGTGTTCCTTAGGCGGTCATTCTAGTGATCATCAGACGTTTTTCTGTTCCCAGCAGCTGTGGATGGTTAATTAGGACTAAGGATTAACTTAATTAGAGAGGTATGCCAGGTTCTAAAAGGCCAGGATCCACATACGTATTTATAACTTTTGTATTTGATGGTGTCATGAGAACTACTGAGCCAGTTTGGAGAGATGAATCAGCAGCTGTGTTCCTGTGGGGTGACAGAATACAATACAGCACGTGGCTTGGAGGAGAAGCAAGGTGGGAAATGGTGGGGGTGGAAATTGTGCACATCTGTTCATTCCAGCTCAGGAATTGTCTTGCAGCTGAAAAAGTGTGGAGGACTTCTGAAGCTTACCCAAGCCACTTGATATTTCATTACACCATTAAGTACAAAGCAATGTGATACTTGAATTTGAATCTCTATAAACAGTTTACAAACATGTATTCATCCCAGAAAAAAGGTGGTGGTAGCTAATGATTAGCTGTGTCTTCTAAATGTAAGAGGAATTTGTAGGCCACCCAAAGCATTTATATTAAGGCAAGATCTGGATTTCAAGCGTTCTTGTCAAAAACCACACCCCTTTCCATAACTGATAAAGCTGGCAATCTCATTATCAGGAGCAACCTTGGAAAAACATCTGACTTATGAGTTGCCTAAATGTTCACATTCTTATCTCTGGACAGCTGCTGGTTCATGGCAGCCATGAAAGATTCAAATTTAATTAAGGCTTTTCATAATTCTGAAGAACATCTTGGTCATAGTGAATACGTCAAATATTATGTCCTTATTGGACACAGTAAGCTATAGTTTTACATGCAGAAAGTAGGTTAAGAAATTTGCAAGGGATATTGGCTCTAAGCACAATAGTTCCACCAGAACAATTTATTTGAAATGCAAACCTCAGATTGGGATTTATACAGTAAAGCTAGCTAAGCGAAATAAATTTAGGGCATTCAGACCAGTTTGCTCTGTCTGCACTTCCTGGGAGATCTTATTACTTAGGTAATTATAACAAAGAGGGTTGCAATATCTTGATCTGTGGGCTGGGCTCTAAATTAGTATGAGCGTGTGGCTTAGAAGGGATGACAATAATTTAGACTTACGTCTGCTTAACAGTAAAACTTTGGCTATTAATACTGAGCAATTTTTACTGATCAGGCAAAAAAGTAAATTCTTTTCTTCTTGGGGACCTGAAAAGGTGAGTAGATTGGTTCTTGTGTTTTGGTGGTATATAAATGAATCTAATAAATCCTGAAGGTTAGAATTTGCTAATATTAAAGCTTGTATTGTCATGTTAGAGATAAGTTTTTTGGGTTTGGTAAGGACTGAAAAAAGCTTTATTTTTCAAAATATATGTATATGTTTATATAGGTAGATAAGTCATGGTGTTCTGTGTCTGCTGATGTCATTCAGGAATGAAGACCGTAAAAGGAACTGTAATTAAAATACCAGCAAATAGATGGATACTGTTTGAGGCACTCGGCATGCCTTGGGATTGATACACGTGTCTTGTTATTTAATAATAATAAAAAAAGATCCACAGTTGCAGATATTTCTATAGAACTAGATCAGAAATGGTAGCTGAAAGCATATGAGATCTAACAAGCTATTTTCATAATATTACTCAGAACAGTCAAACTGTAAGAAGGGAGTGTCTGGGAAAGTAAGACTTGCCTGAAGCACAAGCAACAGGTCTGTCTAGAAAAAGATGTCAAGCAAGTAATATTACATTATTGCTCTGGAGCAAAGAACGTTGCTTTTATTAATAAATCGTTGTTCGATCAGCAGGTTTTACTCTAGCTTAATGAAGTTAAGCAGCAAATACACTGGATACAGGTGAGAAAACAGAGTGTGGAGTCTGGGAGGAGATACAAGGCTTAGTTCTGGTGGTGTTTTTCAGCAAAACTTTCTAGTTTGTGCCAAGGTCTTGACTGAAGGTTTTTTTATAAGTAAGATTTCAAGTTTGTAATGTAATGTATCGGCATTTTCTGTGCCTTTTTCACTGCAGGTAGTCAAATACTGTATTTGATGTTTAGAAGAAATGGTAGTCCTGCATTTCTTGTTAACAACTGTGTATTGCTCTAGCTGCTTTAAGCATGCAGAGCAGTAGCTTACCGCACAAATAAGAGCATGCAGTGCAATCTAGCAATAGAAACTCTATGCTATTTTTAGTATTTTTCACTGTCTTTCTCCCTTCTAATTTTGAGCCAGTCTACTGTCCAGATTTACCAACACAGCTGGTGGCCGTAGATTTCTGGGGGAGCGGCTGATGGCCACATCCACCAAAGCAGCAAGGTAGCCTAGGTGCCTCTTTGGCAGCTGCTTACTGTAGGTGGATTTCCTTCCACTGAGGTGATTATTACCAATGTTACGGTTGCTTTGAACTAGGGGAAATATTGCAAGGAAGAAGGCTCATTGCAGTTGAGAATCAGGTATCTCTAAAGTATTCAGTGAATCTGCTAAGCTACTGGCAGGTAAATGTGACAACAGAAGATGGAAATCTACCAAAACCAACAAATTGAAGGAACAGAATCAGAGGGAGTGTCTGTAAAGTTCACATGTGTAAGCATTCTGAAATTTTAAGTTTGTATCAGCTGACTTAATGACCTTCCAGATTATTCTGAGCATAATTTGTGTTATTTCCAATACCATTAAATGAAATATTTGTGTCAGATGCATTTTGGTGAAATTCAGTTACATTTAGCACTGTTCATACTTAAATTATCATATTGACAAAAATGGAGAGACCAAAACCAAACATTCTTTTACATTAATCTTTGCCTTGGGTGACACTGAAGATTTTTCCTCTGTTTTCTGATAAGGCATTCTCATATTGCTCCTCAGATCAATTTGATCTGAAGTTAAATAATGGCTTAGCCATTATGACAAGCTATAAATGGCAGAGCTCAAATTAGAACATAGTATTTTCTGACTCTTATTCCTGCATCTGTCCCTCTAGATAGTGGTGTTGTATACATTGACTAGAATGGACATAGGACACACACCTTACTGATAACACAGAGGTTATTAATAAATTAGCTTTCTTTGTGTGTATTTCACCAGCACCATGGAGAAAAGCCTGTGTCTCGGGATTCTTAGTTTGTAAGAGAAGCAAATAATTTTGACTTGTTAGTAAAAAAATTTCCATTGCACTGGGCTTATGACTGAGATTGAACATTTCTTAAGATGCAGTAATTTGGACTCAGCCTTAAGTGTACATTTAGGGATTATTTTTTTTTTTTTTCCTGACGGTGCCTCTGAAACAAAAAATGGATAAGCTTTTATTTTAAAGCTGACTTTATCCTCTGGCTGCTGATTCTACACTCCAGTGTTTAGGCAGGCTCCAACTGAGAGAGTAAATGGTGGGGGGGTCTAGCTACCAGTCATGGTGGCCAGTGTCTGAACTGTCACTAGATGAACACAGTACAAAAATATTTTCATCTATGTGAATTGCCTTTAGAGATTATTGTAATGTTTATTTAAAATCAAAATAATTGAATTCTTAGCATAGGTAATCACATGATAAACACAGATTAGTGAAATTTCAGTGGCATTGGAATAATCGGCCCCACAAACATATGACCATTGCCTATGCATTTATCTACAACCTGCATCATTTGAAGGCAATCTCTAGCCATTGTCAGACAGGTGTCTTTTGTGGTGCTTAGAAAGCTGTCAAAATTGAACAGTTTTGATTAGGAGATTTAAAAACTTGCTGTATCATAAGACTGAATGTCAAAAGACTGAATTGCACCCTTCATGGAAGAGAAATCAAAATTCTATGACCCTTTAAAGGCTTTTTTTGTATTTTGAGTTGTGTGTTAGAGCACTGCAAAAATTATGCGTAAGTACAATCCCCGTTACTCACTGTGTGGGCACTGGTTTCATACTTCAGCGATGAAGTGATGTGCAAAAGGGCCTTATTTCAGAGAGAATTTTCTCACTGGCAGTGAAATGGACAGCGTAAATTCTTTTCCCTTTGAAATGTCATCTGTTGACAATAGTGACTGCTACTTGACTAAGAGTCCAGCAACACCAACTCACAAATAGAGGCTAATTTTGGAACATTTTGTTTGTTATCCTTAATGTCAGATGGTAACACCAATGTCTTCAATCCTGTTTTAAAGAGGCAGCAGTGACTTCAGAAACTTCATACTTGGGGCATTTTGGTTATTGGAACAGAAAGAACTGTATTTTCAGTGTCATGAAAGAAATGGTAGAAAGATTGAATGGGAGTACAAAAGGAGGAGTAAATATTATTTCACAATTGTCTTTACTCTTAAGGCAGCAATCAAAAAGCAGAGCTCCTACAGAGTTCTGCTTATAGGTTAAGCATCTTTTTCACCATGTGTTCATTCCTTCATTGAAACCTAGTCAATCCTCTTTTTCCCCACAGTGCAAAAGGTTGAAATGCACTGAACTTTGAATCTAGGAAACTATTGTTAAGGATGAGGGGTAAGGGAATCTCAAGCTTCCAGTATTTGAGATTGTTTCATTTTGTTTCCATCTGCATTTCCTTGTTTTAGAAAAATCTCTTAAAGAAAAAAAAAAATCAACAATGAATGAATTTTGTTAGGTTAATGGTTGGACTGGATGATCTTAAAGGTCTTTTCCAACCTAAACGATTCTATGAATCTATGAAAACCTCAGAAATCCCGAGTCATCTATCAAAAATAGGAACAATGTTCTTGGTTTTCATATTATTAGGCTGTATTTTTGCTAGTGTGGACTTTTGCTTGTGTAGCTTAATTTATAATGCAACAGTGACATTCTTCTATCAGGTCTGGTTTAGTGTAATGCACATGGTTTCATCTGTCTTTTCAGGAGAAAGAGTAAAGGTCTGAAGAAATCACGTATGATGGCTTCTGACGCTAGTCATATGCTGGAAGCAGCTTTGGAGCAGATGGATGACATCATTGCAGGTATAGTAATGCTTTATTTTACACCAGACTATTTTGAGATTTAACTATGTATGTCTTTTTCCCTCCTGCAATTTTCCTGTTTATTTTTTTACTTTTTAATTATTATTCTCAATTTGTGAAGTTCTCTGTGACGCACAGTTTTCTCTGGTTCAACAATTATGTGAAGAAAATTTAAAGTAAAATAAAGGAAGAAAACCCACAATTCCACCTCAGACATGTGAATATTGAAGTAAGAAAGATTTACTTTGCTCTAATGCTATATGGTAACTTAAACACATCAAGAGCTATACATAATTTTCTTTATTTATGATGTACATATTTAAAATAGTTTAGCTATTCATTACCTTCATGGCCTAACGCGTTAGAATGCGTGCTTTTTGTTGACTTTTATATCCAGGAGTGGAGCTATGAATTTCTTTTTATACAGCTGTCTACTAGAAAGGCATATGATGCCAGATAGAATTTGCTGTCTTTTGGTGCTCTCATGGTAAGGCAATTAAAAAATTTTCTCTCAACATTACAACATCCAAGAAGATAAGTTGATTTCTGTGGTTAGGACTTGGTAGCCTTGGGGTTGGTGCTCACACACTATTCAGTATGAGCTCCTAAAAGAAGTATCTGGGTAGGGCCATGATCTCACTTGTGCACAATGGGAAAGCATTCACTAAAGCTTTATAAATTTAAATAATGACACCCATGCGGTGCCTTTTTTTTTTCCCCTTAATGATGAAGAAGATTATATCAGCCTCTTGTTGCTGCAATTGTGCTTCTTCCTGCTCTTCTTCCTGCTCTTCTAGTAAAGCTTTCTATCCAGAGACTAATATGGAGCTTCAGATATTACCATCAGACTAACCATGATTAGGCAGAAAGTCATTATCCAGGATTTTTAGTTTAAAGAATCTCTACATTTTTTTTTTTCTCATCCACATATGAGTCTTCACTTTATTCTAAATGTGCAAGCTTTAACAGACTGCTAAGATATACAGAAGTGTAAACGTGAATATGTGATAGATTTAACTCCACAAATAACTTTTCACACCAATGGAACAAGTTTGTGCACATAGGAAAATTTAGATATGTATTTAATTCTCCCTTCTTTTTCTGAATACAAAACCTTATTCAAATAAGATTTAAACCAACAGAAGTTGGCTGGGATTTTATTTTTTCACCTCTTACAAAACACATTAAACAGATAGGGAAGCTTTGGCCTTCCCTCAGGTATCTAAAGAGAGAATAAGAAAGCAAGTCCCAAACCACAATTCATAAACTAGGGAACTGAAATAATTTCTTAGCCATTGCAAACTTGGGTTATCATCCTGGCTAGTGCTATAAAGGAGCCAAAGTAGCATAGAAACCTGTGTCCCTTTAATTATGCTATGGAACCTGTGCTCATAAATTGCCTCCATACACCTGGAAATTTTAACTCAGTATCTTTCTTCTGTGATGATTTATACATAGCCTAGCACACACTGGTGATATCATGGATGCACTGACGATTCTATTCTTCAGAAAAAGCAGGAGAAAGAAAAATAAATTGATTTTCAGATTAGACACTTATTTTCTTCCAGGAGTTGTCAGAGCTTTGTGGTATGTTTTAATTTGAAGGAAAGGGTTAGAAAACTTGTCATGATTTTGAGGATTTTCAGGTTTGTCATTCCAATGGATTTCATCTGCTTCAATGTTTTCTGTTAATAGATTGTGCTTCCAACATATCTCAATACTTGAAGGTGCCATTTCATATTCCCTTCAAAAAAGTTTTGCAGGCTTACAGGCTGTATGGTTTTTCCACTGAGAGGATAACATTGCTACTCAGCAGCGTTTCTATGAATGGAAGCTCTGAAAAGTGGTTGTTGTGAGGCTAGTTCTGGGTAAGATTATTGTGGTAGTTAGTGTTGGGTATTTTTTCCACAGTATGGAAAGATAGCCTTGTAATATGTGGCATAACTGATTAAATAGCAATATATGACTGCCTAAGAAAATCACATACTTCATGCTAGAAAAATAATTGAGGTCAGAAGCCAGGTTTGATTTTTTTGGTTTTAATATTATTTTCATTTTCCCCACTCCTTTTTCATATTGTTTGTGCCCATGACATTTCAGGGTTTAATCTTGATAAGTAAGGACTACAATTAAATTATTCCAGGCTTCCAAACAACACCGCTTTTACCCCCTTCACTTAGTTGCCATGATGGTGGAGACAGTGATATAGAGAAGCGAAGCAAACGATGGAAGAAATGTTCTGTGTGAATTGGCAGATTGCACGTCCCATTCACAGCTGTTTTGTAGTAGTGTTGGTGCCTAAGCTCTAAAACAAAAAGATTCAGGCATGCTAGTGGTATGTAGAGTTTGTTTCCACAGTGCATGAATAGGTCATGAGCAAATTGGCAACCTCTTCAAGAGAGTTGACTTTATGACTTCACATTACTTACATTTTTAGTCTAATGTCCACTGATATTAAGTAAAATGTGGAAAACAGGCCTATATATCTAATGGGAAAAGAATCAAGATATTTCCCAGACAATGCATCTGTCAAGTCTCATCAGTGTTAATTGAATACTTCCCACATGATTGCAGAATTATAGCTACCTGTACCAATAAAAAAAATCATATTGCTTTATTCCTTTACTTATTTTTAGTTATAACACAAAGGAAAAGCTCAATTGGGTGGGAAGGTAGTTTACCTTATTTATTTATTATTTTCCATTACTAGAAATAGGTAAGACATTTTAAGACAGATTGAGTTAAGTCTGTTCTGGTCATTCTCCTCTAGCTAATGTTCTGTGTGTTCCAGAACTGTTTCTTGAATGTTCTGGTATGATTGAAGGACCAAATATATCTGCTGGAGCCTATACTTGGATAGGGTTATTATCCCAATTCATCTCAAATTAAGGAACATAGTAATTATTCAACTTTGATTCTCTCTAATTCAATCCAGTAAGCTTCTGTTTGCAATTTGGGCAGGGACTGGAAAATGGGAATGTTCTCTTGTCCTGTATGGCAAGAGAAAAAATAAGGTAGGAAACTCCTTCAGAGGGAGGACTGGAGGACTGTAATGAAACAAATCAGGACTGAGAGTCTTCTAACTGCAGATTTATATATACTATATTATGCAAATATTGGACATCTGTGCAAATGTAGCTGCTCTTAGAGTAAACTGGAAACAGCAAAAGATCAACTGTTCAGAGCTTGTTCTATTTCAGTTCACTGTATCCAGATTCTGTGGATATCTCTAGGCAGCGCTGGGTTCAAAGACTGAGGCTAAACTTTATGACTATTGGAAACTTACGTAGCTGATGAAAAAGATGTTTCCTATGGGATGAGGCCTGAGTGGGTACTAGGAGAGCTATGCTCTTCTCTTGGCGTCACAAACCTTTGCTTTAGGCACAAAATGAGCATTAATCACTATTTTAGAGAAGTGAGAAGTCCGTAGATGTATATCTCGCATTGGTTCATTTTTGAAGCTTGAATAGATGTGTACATATACACATGCAAAACCAGCATTCCCTCTGTTTAAGGAGAAAACAGTCCTGATGTCTTTTATTAGCTGTAGTTATTAAAATATTAGATTGTGGTCTTGTCCTTTAAGGTAAGAACTGGGCATGCAAATACATAGTAGAGATAGTTACAGATTTGCAGTCCTACTTTTAGCCTTCTAATTTTAAAAGTTATGTCCCTTACTTCAAATGTTAACATAGCTCATATGTGATTCGGATTAATCCAAATAAAAAGTCTCACTGTAGACTGTGCATCTCAGTGCAATACAAAAAGTATTGGTGTTTAGAGTGCATGAGAGTAGGATTGTGAAGCAAGATTAACAAATTGAATTTCATGGGGCTTGATCGAATTTGACAGATAGGTCAGTGTTCCCAAGTCTTTTATGCTTCAGTACATCTGTGCTGATAACCCACCCTCATAGCTATATAAATTAGGCATGCTAAATGATTAGCCTTATTTGACTAAAATAGCAAAAAGGGCTAATGTGATTGTCAATGAACATTACTTATCCATTAGCTAGAATGACTTGCACTCCAAACAGAGGCTTTCTCTAAAGAAAGTGCCTATATGTCAGATCTGTCTATGCATTCTTTATTTGAGGCGTATGACTTTGGCATTGCTTCCCTCTGAAGTTTGACCAAGTCATTACTTTCCCTTTTATCCACCTTTTACCCGTTTATTAAAATGTGTTTCTTTATAGGACTATAGATTTAGATTATTTTTTCTTTGCAATATATCCTAATGAATTAAAAAAAAAAAATATTTTACTTTTATATCAAACTGTTTCTCTCTGTCAACAATCTGGAAATCTGTTCTTTCTTTTTGTGAATAATGACCATGATTGTAAGATCTAAAACCTCCTGTCACAATATTGTAGTCTGCTGCAGCTCCAGGGTCTCTTCAAATTTGCCGAGGAATCAGTGTAATTATTAACTTTCCTTTTAACCAGAGCTCCTGCAATTATTGCTTATTGAAAAATAACGAAAAAGTTAAATGTGTTATCACGTGGGTGTGTACTGATATTTCAGCATTAGTACCAAAAGATTAAAAAATATAAATAATTAAAAAGTTTTTCAAGAAGTTGTTCAAGAAGCATGCATGTTTAAATTCCCTTCTCTTGAGGCAGCAGAACGCTTGTGTTCAGTTCATTGCTTTGGCCGTGTGCTACAAACCCAACCACTTCCCACACCCTTGCTGAAAAAGGGGCCTTTAGAGGAAATGATATTTAAGAGATGAACGGGATTTTAATTCAAGTTTAATATATTTTCCTCATGGGAACTATTTGCCAGAATTTGAAGGAGGACCTGTTTGTGTGGTGTTTTGTGTGGTTTTTTTTCTTCTTTTCTTCTTTTTTTCTTTTACTGTTCTGCCCCATCATAACTTTACTATGAAAACAACAGAGTTCAAGTTCCAGAGTGGTGCTATGTTCCTGGATGTGTTAGATTATTAAGTCACCTCTAGTTAAGTGATTAGAACGTCTATTAAAAATGCAGGAATGGACAAAA